GCCCTCCGCACCACGAACTGCGCCTGGAGCCCGCCGCGTCCGAGCCGCTGCACCACCACCCCTACAAGTACCCGGCGGCCGCCTACGACCACTACCTGGGCGCCAAGAGCCGGCCCGCGCCCTACCCCCTGCCCGGCATCCGCGGGCACGGCTACCACCACCACCACCACCACCACCACATGAACGCCGCGGCCGCCAACATGTACTCGCCGGCCGGGGCGCCCGCGGGCTACGAGTACGGACCGCGGTAACGGGGCCGGGGAGCGGCCCCGACAACGGCCCCGGGGAACAGACCCCGGGAACCGCCCCGGGGAACGGCCCCGGGGAACGGGCCCCGGGAACCGACCCGGGAACCGACCCGGGAACCGACCCCGGGAACGAGCCCCGACAACGGCCCTGGGGAACGGACCCGACGGCACCACGGACACTGCACCCTGCCCTCGCCTCCCGCCCCTCCGGTCACCTGATAGGCCAGCGCCACCTGATTGACAGCTGGAGCGCCCAATCGGCGGCAGCCGGGCTCACGCGGGCCGTGAGGGACCGGGGCCGCCATCGCGGGCCGTGAGGGCGGCGGTGCCATCGCGGCTGACCCGCCCGTCCGGGGCCGTGAGGGCGGCGGTGCCATCGCGGCTGACCCGCCCGTCCGGGCCGTGAGGGCGGCGGTGCCATCGCGGCTGACCCGCCCGTCCGGGGCCGTGAGGGCGGCGGTGCCATCGCGGCTGACCCGCCCGTCCGGGGCCGTGAGGGCGGCGGTGCCATCGCGGCTGACCCGCCCGTCCGGGCCGTGAGGGCGGCGGTGCCGGGGCCGCCATCGCGGAGAGACCGCGGCTGCACTTTGACAAATGAAGCCATATGTCCTTATCTCCCGGCGCCCCCGCTCTGCCCGCGCCGGGCACCCAGGACGGCTGGCAGCGGCGGGAGGGCGGGCAGGCGGCGAAGCGGGTCGTGCCCGGCTGTGGGGCCGTACGAGGGGTCAGCACACCTCGGGGTCAGTCCTGGGCACCACCTGGGGACACCGAGGCCTCGCTTGCCGGTGGCTCAGGTGGTTCTTTGAGGGAAGCAGAGTTGAGCTCAAGGGAACGCTTTGAATCCTCACTGCCAGAACAGATTTCCCACTTCTCCTCCGGCCCTGGCCCTCCCGTGAGTTTTGGGGTTCACTGGGGTGCCTTAACCACGACAGCATTTTCTGGAGCTGTTCAGAAGGGCCCGTGGCCAAGAGGACAGCCAAGTACAGCTGCGTCTTGTTTTCACAACAATAGATGCAAAGGTTTAGAAAGCAGCCTGGGGTGGGGGATACCTGCAGAGTTGAGGCTGTGTGTTCTCACCCCCTTCCCGGGCAGCCCCACACTCCTGCCTTCCCACGTCCTTTCCCAAGCTCTTGTTGCTCTCCCGTGGAGGTGCCTTTTAGAGGGACTTCAGGGTTTTTTCTCAGTCTGCCTCACCCCTTATATTTGGCTGACCCAAACTGCAGTAATCCCAAAGCACCTGTTCTACACCTACCTGCTTGCTGCATCTTCCCTCTTAATGCTGGTAAGTACTTTTTTCTTCTTCCTTTAATATCTTCCTCCAGCAGTCGTTCGTTACTGTCGCAGGGATGGCCTGTTCAGCACAGTGTGTCCTGTGATGTGTTTGGAACAGTTGGTTTCTGGTTTTGGTGGATGCTCCCCGAAGGCAGTCCCTTTGTGTTCAGAGAAGGTTTTGAGCAGCCCCTCAGCTGTGTTGGTATACAGTATTATGAACACTTTTCTGACTCTTCCAAGTGACTCTATGAAAAGAAGGGGGTTATGTTTTTCTGAAGTCCTCGATTCACTCATGTTTGTGCATTTTCATTATAAACCCTTTAAAACATGTTCTTTCCCTTGTGCAGGTGGCAGTGTTAATAGCAATGTTTATTTTGTCTCTGGCAGTGGGCTTTGGGCTTCCAAAACTTTTTTGAAGGGTTTAAGAAGGGATACAGGCTACCACTGATATTTTATGTAATTTTTTTTCTGTTTAAAAAAATATATCTGGATCCATGAAAAAGTCTTGTGCAAGAAATATGTATTTTATTTGACATTTGCAGTGAATTTTGAGGTTCTTAGTGTCTGACAACCATAATTAATGTTCTCAGAAAGGTTGATGTCAAATAGCCTTGTGCTTATTATTAGTCAGTGGGAAATGGCTCTCGGATGTGCTCTATTGCTTTGCCGCTGTTATTTCAGTTTTCACTATGATTTGTTACCTGTAAACTGATTAGTGCCAAAGCTTTGGTCAAACGTTTAATGAAGTTGTTATATTTATTATTTCTTTCAAAGATTATACAAACACCTTTTTTTTTCTTAATAGTTGGAGCATAGGAAAAAAAGTGAAGACAACCAAAGAAATCATATTCGCAAGCAGTGTAGATACATGTAGATATTTGTAGATATATGTAGATAATCTTATTTCATTTAAATTGAAAAGGCATTGGACAGTGACATTTATAAATATTTTTCCTCTTCTTTCTTTCCTTCATTTCTTGTTTGATTATTTGTGTATATTTGTCAGTTTGTCAGTATAAACCTCCCCTACAAAATGAGCTCATTTAAATAAGGAGGGATTTTAGTCTGAGCAAACAGTGACTCTCCTAGGTCATCACTCCTCCCTTCTGTCCCTGGTTGTGGTGATCTGTCACCACACAACAGCTTGCAAGGTTGGGGTTCCCAGGTGGAAACAGATCTGTTTGTTTTGGTAAGCACTGTTTTCTTTAAACACACAGAGAGCAACCCAAGGTGCCAGGACTAAGCTGTGCTCTCACTAAAAGTGGCTCAAGGTCCTTGTCTTGACTGTAGGAATTTTAATTTTCTCTTTGTTAGAAGAAGAGAAAATCCCAGATTCTCAAGCCATGGTTGTGGGCAGTGGGCCCTTTAGGATCACTGGTCTGTCCTCTGTGCTAAAGATCCACTACAGAAGTCCTGGGGCTGAATGGGAAGGAGGGAACAGGCAGCTGTGTCAAGGCTACAGTCTGAACTATGAAAATGGTACTTCCAGCCTTGTTTTTAGGCCATGAACATGCGAGCTGCTTAGATGTATTAGCGTGAAACGTATTAGCAGTCCATTTCTTCCCATGTTTTAATCCTTAAATCAAGGTTCCTCGGGGCTTTGCCCAGTGTCCCTCCTTCCATTGCTGTGTCCAGCTCATGGATGGGAGTGTTACAGACATGGAAAGCAAAAAGGATTATTTTTCTACCACAACAAAAAATCCCCTTCAAACAAACACAAACCCCATAGCTGCACCTTGATTGTACAAGCCTTTTGAAAATCACAGAAAATCTGTAACACTTTAATTTCAGATTGTTCACCTGTCAGCTGGTTAGGGAAGATATAGTCAAGCCGTATCTCTGTATTGCAGATTCATTTGGCAAATGACTTTGTGTGATTTGATTACGTCTGGTTAAACTTCACTTAGTACACAGTGTCACCAGGGCCCACAGCACATTTTTGGGAAGAAGGCGGCCCTATTTCCAGACAATGCTTCCACTTGTGTCACCTGAAGTCACACGGAACACGGTATTTGAAAGCTGCTGGTAAAACAGGCCCAAGCACGGAGGGCACAAGCACCCTTTGTCTTTTCCAAAGAGGGCTAGAGAATAAATTAGCCACGTAGCTCTATTTTCCAGGGGAACAGGCTGAGTTTACTGATTGCTCCTGAGGTCTGAAAACCACATCACTTAGCTCAGCGCATAAATACAGGGTTAGGCTGGTGAAACAAAGGCAGCTTTGGGTTGATCACTTACCCCAAACAGTTTTCAGAAATGACTTTTTGCTGTTGTTGGTTTTATTTTTTCCATGCTAATGGATCTGACTTTCAGTGTAGGAGAGGAGCATGGGGATGAGACTTCTGTGTGCCTGTAGGGTTAGGTTTGGGGGGCGGAAGGTGAGCCCTGCTGCCCGGAGGAGTCTGGAGCGGTACCTGCCAGGCAGGTTTCAGCACCTCCAACCGAGCATCTCGAAAAGCTGCCGTGAGCCCACGAACGCGGCTGGGCCGGAGGGCGGGGACGAGCACACGGACCTGCTGCTTTTGCTGCTTTGCCTTCTCTTGTTGGCTTTCCTGGTGGGCTGGAAGCAGAGGGGTTTTGCTGCAGCATTGGGGCCCGTTGGTGCGGCAGTGCCGGCGCAGGCGGGGATGGCCCCGGTGTGCCCGGGGGCTCCGCGGGCCCCGCTGCCCCGGCGAGCAGGAGGGCGAGGATGCTGCGCTCTCCGAGCCGACCGGCCCTGCCTGAAGAGCCGGCTCCCTCCAGAGGGAAGAGCCGAGCATGGCACGCCGCGGGTCCTGCCCGCGCCGAAAACCAGTCCTTGGGGAACTTCTGCAGAGCTTGCAAATACGCAATCGGAGAGGAAAATATGGATTCGTTTTATAAAGCAAAGAACCGATCTTTGGGGCACGTAACCTGTGAGTGAGACGCAGCCAGCAATGGTTCAGCTGTTGCTATAAGCTGCTGGTAGGAAGAGTCCCATCTGCTCGTGTACAAGGCACTACGAGTGTATGAATACAACGTTTTTCCAAATGTATGCATTTATTTTCTTCATTTAATTATTCTAATTAAATTGGTCGGTAAGATACTTAATTTACACAGGTGTTTGACACAACTAGATGGCAGTGAACGTACCCAAGATTTCTGTTACTGCCATCATCATGAGCACAGCATTTCACATAAAGCCATTGCAGTGGGACACCCACTGCCCGTGGGAATCACAGGTTTGCAAATCGCCAAGAATAGTGTCATACTTTTTTTTCCTGCCATGTTGCACACGCGATCAATGCAAAAAGAGAAAGATAGACATTAATTTTGAAGAGCACAGACATGACAAATGCACATATACATGATGTGTGTATGTGCTCTGTGAAGCCCCATGGTCTGTGTAAAGTACTTTGTGTGTTGCCTATGCCAGAAAAAATGCACTCCTTCCCCTCCATTAATAGAAATGACCTATTATAAATTTACCAAAGATACCATAGTTTTATAAATTGGCCACATATGTCTGTGTAATATATTTATTATATCACATTTCATAGCATTTCTGTTTTATGAAATTCAGCCTTGAATTTGTCACATATGTTTTGCATATATGTGCAATAGTTGGCCAAGTATATCCGAGTAAAGTATGATAAATGTGTTCTTTCCATATGGGAAATTAAATGTTTTTCCAGATTTTAAAAAAAGTTTATTAAGAGCAGCCTATACAAAACAATTACAATAAATCACTCACTTCTATTTAGGTTAAAATTACAAGTTTGAACTAGTAACAAAGTGATTAAGAACAAAAGCCAGAAAAGTCGCATTTAGGACCTAATTGTGTAAGGAGACAGAGCTGCACAGCAGAGTCCTCCTCCCCAAAGCTTGTTCTGGGAATGGCCCAGCGGGTGCTCCCGGGGCAGTGAAGGACTCCTCGGGGGCCACTGCAGTGCTGGAACTGCCTGCAACAGGGGGGACTGCACAGGTGCCCAGGGGCTCAGACCGACATCCCCGGGCTGTGAACTGCGAGAAGGAAGTTAAAACCAGAATAAACCACGTGTGACATTTCCAGAAGCACCTTTGCGTGAGGTGTTTGCAGTGTCGGTTTTGTCAGCGGTTTTAGCTGGTGGATGGGGGCTCTGCCTTTGTGTTTGGGTGTTCATCCACTTGCTCAGTGCTCCTGTTGCCCCTCGTTCCGGGGGCAGGTGGTTGCCCGGCTGCTCCAGCGGGAGCAGGTTGTGGGGTGCCGGCACCAAGGGCAGGGGAGCAGCTGCTGCAGCGCAGGGGCTGTGGCAGAGCAGTCCCCCAGTCCCGGTCCTGTTCCAGTCAGGGCAGAGGGTGCTGAGAGGCGAGTGCAGAGGCCCCTTACTGAGCACTGCTGTACACATTTCTTTTATTTCAGCAAACATAAAGTGAGTCTTTCATTCTATTCCCTTTCCTGCTTGTTGTCAACTGCTTCAAACCAGATGGGCTTAGGAGATAAAACTAAAAAGACTCAATGTCTCAATTTAGCAGGATGCCAGGTCTGCATGCCATCAAAATATCTGAGGCAAAACCATCTGAGCAGACAACAGTTACCCTCAGTGTTGTGGTGCCATCACAGAGCCGATGCATCTGTGAAGCACTGGGTTGTCGGATCGGCAGGTTTTGGAATTCCCATCAGGACAAATGCCATGGCCACGTTCTCTGCCATGTTTAAAGTTATTCCATAGGCCCAACACTTTCTTCTTCCCTGGGTCAGGATGTGTTTATAGCAAGCAGTGGGTGCCTGGAAAATGTACTTTTGCTTGCATGGGATGCCAGAGCAGAATAATGGCTCAGCATTTTAGCATCCTCCCTAGATTCCCTGCTCTGGACATAGTCAGGATCAATCAGGCCTGCTGCTGGCAGGAAAGGGAGCTCATTGCTGTACAGAAAGTGCCAAAGGGTTTCTGTAGCTTTTCACTGCCCTCATTTGTGTCCTGGGAATATATATAAACTAGGAGGAAACAGCATCTAGCTGTGATCTCAGTGTAAGGTAACAGCTTTTTTTTTGTTCCTTTTTATTATTATTATTATTATAACTTCAATTTTCAACAGAGAATTGCTAGAACTATTTTTTTTTTCACTGCCATGTCACTCTTGTGTAAGGAGATAGTTAATACTGCTCTGGGATAGTTCTGCACTGCATGTGGCTGCTTTAGGACCTCAGTCCCTCCCAGTGCTCCCCCTGTGGCATTGCAGCCTCTGGTATTACGACTCTTCATAGCAGAGAAAGAAATCCACAATCCTTTGGGTGAACACAGCCTTATTTAGAGGTGTAGGCTGTTTTACAGGATTTCCTAGTGTTCCAACACCTTTAAAAAGGATGCTGGGAATTAAAAGTCAATACTTCTGAAATTGAAATGAGCTGGTATATGAGTTTAAAAAGACAGACCTATCACCCTCTGGTTCCACTCTTCCTGCCATCCTTGTCTTTTTCCCATAAGGAATCTGGCCACTGCTGGAGGTGGTTTGCATCAAGGCCCTTTGTACTTTCCAGAATCTTCATATCCCAAACTCAGAAGGACAGGTTGCTTCTGTGTTTTGATTTACACCCTTATTCCCCTTTCTCCTCCTCTCCTAATACCAAACTGCAAATTGAATTCCTCTAAGTCAGAATAAAGCAGTGCATAGGACAGGACATACAGATATTGTTCATACCAATAATCAGGTGAGCAAAACATTCACAATTGAGAGATTATGTTTTCATTTAATTTGATACTGTGACAGCCGTAAATGAATTGCCAAAACCCCCCAGTATGATCTTATTCTGGATAGTTTTCTTCACATTATAAAGGAAACCTCCAGCATGTCCCAGAAGAGTAGGACATGGATAAACACAGTCAAATTTACTTGGAAAACCTCCTCTAGTAGGGGGACCCCGGCTGGGATCTCAGGATACCACAGAGCAACAGAACCCCCTGTGCCTCCGTCCTCACTCGGCGCTGTCGCTCCTTGGTGGTCGTGCTTCAACCCCAGACCGTGTCTCAGCACTGCTGGAACGTTGTCTAGTACTCATCCAGGCAGTCATGTGCCATGGTTATGTAATGATCCATACTTTCACACCACAGACACACAGCCAGAAAAGGAAACACATTGATTTAGCGCTCGGTAATCCCTGGTTAATCCCCAGTCCTTTGGTTTACATCGCTAACATGGCTCCTGCAGTAGTCAGTGTTCTATCTTTGTTCTTGGCAGACTGAATTAAAGGAAAGATTTATTAATTTGTAAGTTGGCTTTGTAGATGCATCTTAAACGTGCTAAAAACAAAAAGCAGTCCAGAAACCACTACTGACTTAACTATAAAAATCTGCTCTTTTAAACTCAGACCTTTGCAACAATCCAAGTCAGAGAGTAATTTATTGGCTTGCTGAAGCAATTGCATTGTATAGGACTAAATTTAACAACTGTCTCACTGCAGGCCCCCAGCCTACTTCCTTTTTCACTCATTACTACAAATACAATTAATCTCCTCTTTCCTTGCTCATCTACACTTAGGACTGCAATGCTTTATGGCTCGTGTACTGATAAGAGAAAGGGGTTTAACTAATAGGCTCATTTGCAAATAATGTTAGAGGGTCAGAGATCACCATTCATTGCAGTGGTGATAAATAGTCCATGTAATGGCTGCACAAATGCTGGTGTTTGGGATTTATTTCTATTAGTTTATGAATGCTGGTTGCTTTCTTCCTCTGACAGTGCCAAAGACAGTGATTCTTGGGAGGAAGCCTTTTGTAATAATTTAGCTGTCATCACCTTCACTCCTGAATCCTTCAGACCAGGTACGGGCTAGCCCTGTTCCTTACTGGCAGGTGAGATTCCACAACTGACTCCAGCAGCTTAAGGTGGCTCTTCACTCACAACCTTCCTGCTGAGCAGGTCAGCTGAAATCTCCAGTGATAACCATGCTCATGGCACAACTGTGATGAGCTTTAAATGATTTTTTTTAATTAAAAAAACTTTTTAGTTTCACAGATGCAATCAGACAACTGTGTTTTACAGTCTATAGCAATACAGACTCTCCTTTGTGGTGGAAATCATTCTGTTTTGGGGAAGTCCAGGTTAGTTCCTTAAGCATATAAAATTTTAGAAGACTCTAATTCACAATCCACCTATAGCATTTAGGCTCAACTCTAAATCAAACTGCTGTAGTCTGGTTGCTCATTTCAAGGAAACCATAATGTGAAAGAGAAATCTGCTTACTGGGTGTTTAAATAAGATCAGTAGTGATGTAAAGTGTTAATGTATTAATTGTAATGTGCAAAATATGAGGTGGATACTGCTTTGGTAATGGGAAGTATAGGATGGGTCTGTTCTTGCAAGCAGCTCTCCAGCTTGTGTCCTTCCTCTTGCAGCTGATGCAAGTCTTTACCTCTGTGTCTGCCTGGGAGTGAGGTGCAGTTCGTGCCCTCATTTTCAATTTGGACTTGCATGACTATTTTTAACTCTACCTAATCAGACAAATATAAATATTAAACTCTCAGCAAAAGGCAGTGTTAGATGTGACAGCACACAGTCATCTTTAAGAGTACCTTCCAAGGACCTGTTTGTAAATCGGAACATCCCTTATGAGTCTCCACAATGACTTTAGGCACAGAAATTGACAGTAAATGGCATTTTTTAAGGAACAAAGCATACTCCAGAATTCCTGACTTCCTGGCTCTGATCTAATAGTGCTCCTATTAAGGCACAGTGTATTAATCCTTTCTTCCCAGGGGGCTGCCCCCTCCCAGCGGCAGAGCACTCGCTCAGCAGTTGTTTCCCAAGTGGCTGTAAGATGCAGAGGTCTCTGGGAGATGCCCTTGGTGTGCTCAAGTGCTGCAGATGTGCCTCCCTCAGGCTGCAGAGCAGCTTCCCACTCGCACTGGGCTCTGCTGGCACAGTGCCTTTGCTGTCTGCGGGATGAATGACTTCTCTACCAGGACCAGGCTCTTCTCATTTCCTGCAGGAACCAAGATGGGCTTTCCTGCTGGACGAGCACTAACCCTGCGGTCAGTGCCGTGGGAATTGCCAGCAGAGCAGGCTGCAGAGGAGCATTTGCACCCCCAGGCCACGCGTGGTGTGGTCCTGTCAGGACAGGCAGCTCCCCGGGACGGTCCCTGGACCACCCTCAAGTGTGCACTCAACAGAGAGCTTCCTCTAGTTATTCACTGCATCGTTTCTTTGTCAGGTCTGACTTATTTGAAGAAAGGGGGGAACGAACAAAAGGAAAGGTCTCTTCCAGCAGCAGCTTTGTGGAGACAGCCCCTCATTCCATAGGGCTGGAGCTGCCTGTACAGTGAGAGCAGCTCCTCCTCTGTGTGGGAGGTGGGTGAGGGTGGAGATGGAGCCCTTGCTCTGTGCAACTCTGTCTGGTAGATGTAATGAACACCATCACCTCCCCCTGACTCGGGATCACTCAAAATTAGGCTTTAACTTTCAACTGCAATGTGATCCTCCATGCAGCTACTGAATAGTAAAGACATAATCAAAGAAATGCATTATTTAAACTGTCATTACACTCCAAAATGTGTAAGGCCACGTTTTATTTAGAAAAGCCTGGCAACAGTATCCTGATTCTGTTTTAATGGGAAGAACACCAGGCTGGGTGCTTAAGGCTTTCAGTCCAGCAGCATTCTCTGCCTGCAAAGCACAGCTGGGTAACAGACCCAGACCTTCATTTGCATTTGTGTTTTTCCTGAAATAATTTCTAAAGTCTTTGATGTTGCTGTTCACTGCACTTTTGATGCCTTTTTCTTGGATTTCCAGCTCTTTATAGTGCAGAAACAATTATTTCCAATAAGGTATCAACAGTGCCCAGCCTGGACACAGTTGTCACTGCAGCTTTGTGACCCAATCCAGCGGTACAGTGGCTCTGAACACACTGGGCTGTCTAAAATGCCTTACAAGAATGCAAATACTGCTTCAGGATTCAAACAAAACCCTTATGAGTGAATTTTAGCTTCCACAGCCGTAGAGATGACGAGTTATTGGAGCCGTTTGCACTGTGTGGGATAAGGATTTCCCGAGCAATTCCCCTAAATGTAAATGAGAGGGGTGTGGCTGAATCCCAGACTTGCCACGCTGAAATACCCGTAACTCTCCCAGGAGAAGGGCGCTAATTGGATTGCTGAGTTTAAATCCTGCAGCTCGTCGGTCTCTGGAGAGGATTTAGCACTGCTCTGTGAAAGGCTTTACAGAGCTTTGCAGTGCAGTGCAGGGCGAGATTTTTTTCCTTTCTTTCTTGTGATTAATTGTGAGGCTTGAGGTGACAGGAGACATAATGAAATTCATAAATGCCAAAGGCCGTCCCTAGTCACATTCCTGGCTGTTGGTTTAGGTTAGAAACTTGACAGAAGTGTGAACAAATCAAGGTTGTTCTGATAGCCTTTCAGTTACAGGCAAGAAAAAGTAACTGACAATGAGAACCCGCTGGAGGTGCTTTAATGGGGATAAATTTTCAAGAAAGAGCGATATTTTACACTCATTCAAATTCTTGGATACATAAAGGGTTTACAAACAGATGTATTCTGCCCCCACCACACTTTGAGGGATTCCAGTCCTTTTTCACAAAAGATATTGGCACAAGTTATTTCAGCAACCTGCCAAAGAAAAGCTGTTGCAAAACCTGTAGCAGAACCCAAAGCGACTTGTTCCGTGTCTTTGTGATGGGCCTTTTTCTGCTTGTTAGGAATTTTAAAAATCCCTCTCTGGAAAACAAAATTTGCAGCTTAACCAAGCAGCATTAGGAGTTAACCTGGGACTCTCACTTCAGCCTGGAGACAGATGCTACGACTTTCCGTGTTTGAACTGCAGTGTCAGGCTCTGCGGCCCCAGTCGTGTTCCCCCAGCCCGTGGCGGTGCAGGGTGTCAGCTCGGGGTGTATATTGACCAGGCACTGATGCGGTGATCTTTGGAGCCAGCTGCCAGCAGTCTCTCACGGGGGCTGCTGTGATCTGAGAAGGACACACAGTGGACAGCTGCGGTGTGATAGTCCAGCACTGCTAAGGGCTTCAGTTTTTTCCAGCCAAAGATCCTGATGCGATGATCCCACCCTGCTGTTGCTAAAATCTTCTTGTCTGGACGGATGGTGATATCAGATATGCCAGCGTTGACAAGTTCCTGTGTTTTGTAAACCTGTGTGAAAAAGTCACAACTGAGTTCTAACTGTTCAAAACACGAGGAAAGGAACCTTTTGGCACCTTGGCAGGTGCAGTGCCCACCCATGCACACCAGTGTCACACAGAGTGTGGAGCTTTTCCCCACATGGTGGGTGGGGTGTGGGGAGAACAGCTGTAGACAGAGAGGGAAGAGACCTTACCTTGAGCCTTCCCACCTGCAGCCCCATTGTCTAAAAATAAACCCTTTATGGTTTTAGTTTATTTTGCATTGAAATTTATATTCTGTTAATGTCACTGTCAACTTAAGCCTGAGTCTGTGGCTGTCTTGTACTAAAGCCTGGTATCCTCCAGTGCCTCTTTTAATACAGGTGCTGTTTGCTGTTTGTCTGAGGCGGGAAGGGATTCACAAGCACAACTGAGCAGCTGTCCTCCTTGAAGGACATTCCATGATGCACAGTTAGGACAGGATTATAGAGAACAAATTAATTGCAGATAACTTGAACCTTTACACTGGACATAAAAAAGTCCAGAAATGTTGGTCAGAGTTAGTTTCAGATGCAGTTGAGCATATTTGAACATATCTGGAATCTTACAGACACAGAGCCATAAGCAATTATTTTTTAATTGTATAACAACTGCCCTAGCTACGTCCTGAAACAGCAAGAACTTGCAGTTTGATGAGAAAAAAGGCTGAATGAAACTTGACATATTCTTACACATTCCTCTTTTAAGGAGAACCTGAAGAAGGTGTCTCCAACCAATTCAGAACAGAGGACAGCAAGTTTTGCTCAAGCCTAATGGGCAGCAGGAGGCTGTGTGGGGGCCTCTTTGTGGGGCTGCTGCTGTAAAAGCCGTGCTTTGGTCAGTGCAGATGTTCCAAGGCCCCAGCTCAGGCTCACGCAGCGTGGCCGCAGCAGTGGAGTTTTCGTGGGCAGAAGTGTCCTGGGAAGGAAGGATTTACTCCTTGCCTCACCAGCCTGGCAGTGTGAGATGGGCCTTGCTCTGGGATTGTTATAATGGCTAAAGCCAGTGTGGGTGTGGTGTGCCCTCCTCCTGGCACTGACTGGGCAGGATCCACAGCAGCACAGGGCGCTGGGACGCGGCACCTCAGCGAGCTGCGACTTGAACAGAGCCTGCAGTGGAGATGCCTTCTGGAACAGGAGCAAACAGTGGGCATTTGGGCACGATCCCTTGCTCAAGGTAATGCAGCCAGGTGAAATCCTGGTGCCAGGATTTGTGCCATGCAGGGACTTACTACAGTAAGTCACTAACTACAGTGGTCTAATGCATACCAGCATAATTTCCTAACCAAAAAACTAGCTTATAATTAAGAAAACAAAGAGGTGAAAACAAGTGAGCTGCTTTCAGCCAACCATGACCAAGAACACTTGCATCTACACCCAAAGCATGTCTTTAAGCCCTCTGCTTATGAGAAAAATAGCCAAAATAGCAGCAGCCTAAGCTTTAGTGTTTGGGGGAGAAGCCTCAGCAACCAAACTAACAAAACTTACATCTTACAGAACTTTTTTCTTGTCATATATAAAGGAGCTTCTGTGGTTATCAGATTTCTTAGTTGTGCTTTGTTTATTCACCTGCAGAAGCTGTTTACCTTCTACATTCTACCACAAACATCATCCCATAATTACACTATCTCATCCAAATCAGAAGGCTCATAACCAATCCCATCATTTGCTGAAGTGATGATTTCAGCAACTTTCCTGTAGAAGACAATACACCAAACTTTCCCCATAGCAATAAACTGTGCAGCACCTTCATCATCTCTTCACTGACACACTGGAACGTTGCCACTCCAAACAGAGCTGAAGTGCCATCGTTGCGTCACTGTTTCTGCACCGGCAGATAGCTCTGCCCCATGCTCACTTATTAAAACCTCCCAGAATAAAAATAATGTGCCACTGAGTGGCTTTCCAACATCTACCATTACCTCAGGTACCTGGAATGTCAGGGAAAAAAAATCCCCATCTGGTTTATATTATTAATGCAATAGTGGAAAAAACCTTAATCTATGTCCTTGACAATCTCTAGTGCTCATGTGAAAGATGCATTTTATTTGGGCATTCATACTCACACGAACACAGGACACTGCTTGGAATTTATAATACTGGGCATTTAAATTTCTTCTGAGAAAAGCTACTGTCTCTCAGTGTGAGCTGCTGAGGGTGTAGCTAATCCTGCATCTCCTGGGAATGTGAATACCTTGTGAAAAACAATACCTGGAACATTTCAGGTGAACAGCCGTTTTTCCCATGAGTCATACCTGTAGCCCTGCATTAGGGTTAGCTCATAACTGGAATGTGCTGTGAAGAACAGTATTTGAATTAGGAAAAAGTTATGCTATAAGCAATATGAAGGAACACCTTCCTCTCCACCACCGGAGTATTTGAAGCTTTAAGAAGCCTGTCATGCTGTCAGAATTCTGACACCTTGGCCTTAGAGAACTAGTCTCAGTACCAAGCTTCTCACTGGGATTGCTCACCATCCTTCCACTTCCCTGAGCTAAGGACACCAGGTGCAGATGGTGACAGTAGTGGTAGAAAGGCTGGGCAAAGATCACCAAAAGAACCAACAAACCCAAACCATGGCAACTGTGCATCAGACCTGTGGCTTCAAACAGTGACCCCCAGCTGATGAGGCAACCCTGGCTGTCCCAGCACATGCTTTTCTTCCCATAGCACCATTCAGAAAACAGCTTTAACTTACACATTACCTAAAAAAATTCTCTGTTAAAGCTGCAAGCTGAAACAGCCATTGTTGTTCTCCCGTGAACTGGAGCATCCACAGCTCTCCAGGATGGCGTGGGGCACACAGCATCCTTCCCACTGCTCGTGGGACAAGTGCCACTTTAGAAAGGTTGAAGCACTCAGGAGTGGAGAGGGATGCTTTGGCCATTGTAATGTTTCTGAGCCTTTATTGACACTCTTCATTTCCACACCCAGTTAAATCCTACTCCCCCCTTGGCACTGTGGGATCGCCTGCTGAGGGTGTCTGGATAAAAGCAGTTGTGTTGTCAGTCAGTGCCGTGGGGATTGTGCGGCTCTAAAGCAGCGTCTGCAGGTTGTGTCGCTGGGCACAGACTGGCACAGCCACGTGGCTGCTTTTCTGTCTCTGGTGGGGCTGTTGCTGCCTAAACCTCTCGTCCCCATGGTGCTACTCTTTTTGTCTGTGAAGTATTTCATGGAATACTTTCTTTCCCACAGTGGAAAGAAAGCTCTAAGCATTCAAGCAGAACCTTTGGAAAAGCAATCCTTTGTTTCTCATTTTGTAACTCATTTATAATGTTTAGGGCATTCCGAGAGCTGGATACTACTAACGTGATAAATGAAGATACAGAGGCAATGGCTTGAGTAATGCTAGGCCTGTGTGCCTGTTGCAACTTTGGTAAAACCAGAAACATGTGAGAGAGGGGTTTTTTCTTTTTTTTTAAATCCTCACCATCTTTTGCTAAGTCTGGTCACATAGCACAGACATTCTAACCAGTCTGTGATTAATTAGCTAGAGATCTGCAACAACTCCTCTTCATGACTAAATATTTTTTTAGTCTATCAAACTGTTAGTGCAGAGTGGGATAAATGACACTAGAGGGCCAGTGCTCCTGACCTGGAGGTTCTGTTGCTCATTGAGGCTCCAGATGCGAAGCACCTTTTCGGATGAGCCCGAGATCCCCTTGGCCTTCTCCGAGTCAAAGTCAAGGCTCATCACTGGCTCCTGGTGGCAAACGAGTTGGCTCAACGCTTTTCCCATTGTCACATTCCAGAGGACCACTGATCCATCTTCATAGCCAGCCAAAAGCAAAGGTTGTGAACCACAGCTGAGCTGATCAAGGAAAAAGTAAAATTGTTTGAGAAGTAAATAGTCTGTTAGGAAAATTACCATCCCGAGGTAGGTTCCAGTCCAAGCACCAAGAGAATAAATGAAAATGCTACTGGAGCACGGTGATACAGCATTTAGGAGTGTGAATGTCAAATCCTGAGTCCATCCACTTCCAGGAGGCAGTACTAGGTACTTTGAACTTATGGAGTTTATATCTACAGATCAAATTCTAAATTTCATGTGTGTAATACCTATCTAACATACACACACACATACATACACACAGGTATAGAAAATTTCTCTCTGAAAATCCAAACTATTGCCCTCTGCAACACCTGAAAAGAGGCCGCCTGAAGTTTTACTTCATGGTCTGAACTTTAAAGTCTTCACTTTTAAAAAAATTCTGCAGATCAGCAGAGTGGCTGTGGAGCAGCAGGACCCCTGTGGCGTTGGCAGACGTGCCAGGCTGTGCAGGCCCGCAGTCCCAGCTGTGGGGTCACAGCGGGGATCCTGGGCCCAGGGGCACCCCAAGCTCCAAGGAGAGCACTGAGGCACCAAGGGGTTAACAGGTGCCCCAGTCCCACTGTAACCAACTGAAAGCTCTTTTGATTAATGATGTCACAGGCCAAAGGCCACGGCACCCTGGGCAGACACCTAATTTATTTAAACCCCTGAAATAACTCAAAGAAGGGAACATTACTGGATTACATGTCACACTTAAGGAAAATATTCATCATTGCTGCAGCCAAAAGACTAATGATCCCATAAGCAGTAACTGGTTACAAGAGTGAAGATGCAAATCCCTAATGAAAAGCAGCTAAAAAAGAGGCATCTGTTAATGCCAGTTGTTTCTTTAATAGGAGAAGAAACATCAAAATAGGCACTGGCACTCTGACCACCTCATGTAGGCACATCTAAGAAATGTATTGAATAAGCTATTCAGATCTTTCCAAACACTCTCTGCTCCTACAGGATTTGTTTACTTGGTATTCAATTCAAAACAAAGGTAAAGGACATAAAGAATTAATTTTTATCAGTGTGACATCATCGACTGAAGTCACACTCACTGGCTGTCAGTGCCATGGTACAAACCTGCAGTGGCCACAGGCTCCCTGCTCTGTCAATGGTCCACACTGCTCTCCTGGTTCCTGTTTGTTCTGGGGGAGTTAAACTAACAGGAGATGGGTGTGCTGGGTAACAGCCTCGTGTGCCTCCTCACCTCCTTCAGCCCAGGGAAGGGCTTGAATGAGGGAAGGATCCCACTGAGCAGGGAAGAACATTGCCCCTTAAAAGAAGGGAATCAAGGGGAAATCCTTGGAAGTGTAGGAAATCCCCTGCATCATCCTTCTGAAGGGGTCTGTCCACACCTGGGATCTTGCAGGAACCTCCTTCCTTCTTTTAAGACCCCTTTTCCTTTGAAAAAGGGAGCATGCTCTGGCTAGACAGGCCCACAAAGCAGGTCTCTCAGTGCCCAGAACTGGGAACAATTTTTCTGTCAAATTTTTGATTTACTAAAATAATATCAGAGCAATGAATGTACTCATCAGGTATTTGGATCTGCTTTTTGATATCAAGGAAAAGTTAAAAAAATCTGAATTAAATGAACATTCCAGATTTTATTTATATTTAATAAACGATAAAACCTTCAAGGCAAAACGAAGTATTTCACAGGTACTTTTAAGTTTAAAAAAAGTTCCCAGTTTACGCATAAAAAAGCCCCACAATTATTTGTGCTGCTCTTCTGTGAGCTCCAGACTCCCTCAGAAAAGGTTTCCTCAAAGGTGTAGCTGTCATTAGGCAGTGAAACATGGTATGGAGGGGCAGGGCTGGCTCCTCTGTACCCCAAACAGCTCTTCTGGAGCTCCAAACCCTCGTGCAGATGGAGACACAGTGAGTGCTCAGCACTTCCAGAAATGCCAAGCAGAAATATTTGTTTTGTGCTCTGGGTATCTCAGCTTAGATCTGAAAACCGGTAATTTGCAAGTGAGATCTAAGATTGGTCTATTTTAAAAAACAAGTGAAAATTCACAATTTCCTGTGAAATGAAAGTCTCCCACTCCGCTTCTTCCTGACTTTGCTCACCACGTGAAGTGCAATATTGCAGTGAGCACAGGAACTTAAGCAATAAAAGCCATGGAAAGATCAGGGCAGTTGGCAGCTGAGACCTGGACTGGGCAGGCAGTGCTTCCCCACGGGCTGCCTGTCCCAGTCCCACCGGCGGGCACGGCTGCAGAGAGCTCAGCGCCCGCCTTCTGCTTCGGTAGAAACAGTCACTTAGAAATCACTGCTCTTCCTCAGCACAACATTTTGTTGTTGCGCTTGGATAAGTGTCAAGGAAGGAAGAAAAGGTGATCTTCTGTCAACTCAACAGGAATAATTGCCACAGTTTATATAAAGCAATAACTCGGCGTTTCCAGTTTCGACACGCATTCTGCTTGGTGAACTGTTTGGTTTGCACCATTACGCAACGTGATGCCTTCCCCAGGGAGAGCAAAAAATGTCAGGGAAGACTCTCCTTACTCCTGCAAATCCTACTCCACCCAGTTAGTAATAGCAGGAAGGTGTGAAACGGAAGGGACAATGTCTTGAAGAATGTAAATCTTCACGAGACAAAGCTGATTGAATGAACCGATACGTTTAGGGGTAGACCTTGAAAAATGGGGGAAAGTGCTCAAAACCAACCAAATAAACAGCTTCAAGCGTTTTGATTGCTTAGGGGAAGGCTGACCTAAGCCTGGGTTCCTTCTGCCGTGCAGTGAAGCCGCTCATTCCCGCTGCCGGTGGGGCCTGCGGTGTCCCTGAGCTGCAGGGCTGTGCCCGGGCACACAGGACACGGTGGCTGCAGCCCCTCCTCTCCACGGCCAGCCACCCCGAGCACGGTTCCTGCAGACATGTGGGGCTCTCCCCAGTTCTGTTCCAGCCTGTTCGTTCCCTGTGCCCCGAGCAGCACAAACAGCCTCTCAGGCTGCGCTGCCTGCGAGTGTTCATCTGCTGGCTACGTCTGCACTGCCCGGCTCAGACCCTGCACGGCCTCTGCTCCTCTGTGGTGCCAGGGGTACTCAGAGAGCCACTGCAGTGCAACCACAACCAGAATGCAGAGCAGCACTTTGGTACACCACGTGTAATTATTTACCCTTAAGGGTGTGCTGCTCCCCATGCTTTTAAACCAAGTTGCACACGTTTGTAAAAGAGCAGATGCAGCTGTGAGGTTGTAAGGGATTATCTGTACTTGCTTGGTGCAGTCTAGGAAGTTATGGTGAGTTGAGTCAGAATCTGCATGGAATAATTTACCTCTCCCAGTTCCCAGTCCTCTGCTTTATCCCCACTGGCAACAAAATTAAAAACTACATGAAATTAAGACTCTGCACCTGCTCTGCTTCCTAGAGGAACAGCAATGTTAATGCATGTAGAAAATATGGCAAGACAGAGGACTTACACGGGCAACAAAATTTTCAACACTGAACATTTCCTCAGTTATCTCCATCTTATTAGAAAATGGCCAGGAGACAGAAAGCCCCATTCATTTCATTGAGCACTGAACACTGATTGCATTTTTAGGAGAAACTTTGTTTAATAAAAGCCTAATCAGCCTATTTAATTTTCCTTCTGTTTTTTTCCTAGTCTTTAATTACAGCATGGGACTTGAACTGTGGCCTCCCCTGCTTTTGCCTGAAGTCAGCAGCTGAGTTCCTCTAGATTTCAGTTGGTTCAGGACCTTGAGTGAAGACACCAAGGCCTCAAACTCTGATTGAGAATGTTTTCAACTGGAACCAACACAAATGTTGAGATGAGCCCGCAGGAACCACACATTTGGCATCAGCTTGGATGGTCCTGCAGACCTGTAACAGTGTGTGGTCAGGGGGTTAAATGGGAATCGGCTTTGCCACCAATTCTTTGGAGATTTAGAGCCAATCACTTAAACTCCTTCCTCCCTCTACTGCCACCCTTTTCTATTACTTGTCATTCACTGTTGGCAGCCCAAAAACATTATTTGCTAAATATGCTGCAAATATGGTTTTCTTTCACTAACTGCTTTTATTTACCTTTTTATCCAAAGTCAGTACCACCATAAATATTTTGTTCCTATTGTATGTCTGGAATGGAAATGTTCATAGAGTGCTTCCCTGTCCTGAGGGCATTGAAGTGAATGTAATCTGCCATTAAAAATCACTGTTTGCAAGCAACCCAGTCATTTCTCATCATTCTTAATGCAGTGAGAAACCATATCAAACAAGTGGCTTTGGTAAGTCATTCATTTTCCTCTTGATTGATGCAAAAAGTGTATCTATCCTAAGGATACAAAGCTTTCCCTGAGCATTTGCAAATCTTCCATTAAAGCTTGGAAAGCTCTGAAAGTTACATTAAGGATGTTCACAAATCTTTCCCCCCTTTAATAGTATAATTACTTGATTGGTTTGATAATAAATCAAAATCCAAGTGAAGAAAGATTCATGTGCTTCATATAAAATGAATCACAGGGAAAACATTTCACAATTAGCAGGCACTCTTGCCTTACCTGCCATAACTTCAGACACATGGGCATGCCCAGCTTGGCACCCACCTCTGGCTTCAAGGTACAGACTGACGTCTTGGATGGCAGCTCCAAAACCTGAACCTGACATCAGGAAAACAAGAGCAGCTGGTCAGGCTCCAGCTCAAAGTTCTGCTGTTGAAAACACAAGTCTTTTAGGGTGATTAAGGTTAGTATAAGCTCTTCCAGTAAAAACTGTCTGCAGGAAACTGAGGAATGCATGCTAAGCTGGAGCTGTAGGGGAATCCACAGCTCTCTAAAGAAGTGCATTGTTTTAGGAAAGGCAGACAAAATTGCCCAAGTGAGCACATCCTCTTCTCCACTCTTCCATTTCATCTTTCCAAACAGGAAAAACAGGAGATGACACGTGCACACAACAGATACTACTGCACACTGCTTAACCTGAAAACACTGCCCTGCTTCCTTTCTCCTTTTTCCATCTCTGCTGCTAATTTTACGGCTGTGTTCACCTCTGGACACTTGCATTCTCTCCCCTGTGCTGTTATGGTAACACACACATACACATGTGCCAGGAGGAGGTTTTATTCGCTGCCGACCGCACTGACAAATGGTAGCCCAGAGTTCCTGGGTGGAGCAGTGTCAGCACACAGGTATTAACACAGTGCTGTGTTAAACACCTGCTCTCTTACAGAGCAGCTTCCACTGCTGCTTGCCCTGATGGTAATGAATTACAGATCTGGTGTTTTTCTGCATTTTTTTTAAACATTGGGCAAGTCATTCCTCTGCCAAGGAAGTAGCTCATTTCCACCTCAGGATGATGGCAGCCAAGATCAGGAGTCTGCCTTTTCTGTTTGGCACTGGAAGATTTGGAGTCTTGACTGACATGGCAGTGCCTCAACTCTGGGCTGGTTCTCAAGCCTGGAACTGTGGAGAAATAGCAGCTCTTGGGTATCAAAACCCTGCTGCTAGAAACATGGCTCTTTCTCAAGCACACACCTAATCACCAAGGTGATCTTTTCTTTTAATTAAGTAAACAATGGTCTGCATTATGTTGTAAAATTAAACGACTTGAAACATTTGATAAATGAGCATCAGCAGCGGTCCTGGGCCCTTTCAGAAGGTGCAGGACCTGGCAGTGCTGCTGCACAGCCCTGCATTTCCTGCAGCCTCAGAGCTGCTACACAGACAGGTCCCCTGGGAGCCACCCGTCACCACCACAGCACTGCCATGGCCTTCCCATCCCATCCCTGCAGTTCAGAGCTTGCCAGAACATCTTCCTCTTTGTGGAGGCTGTGAGCCAGCCTGCCAGCAGGCAGCTGCACTGGAGCTCTGGAGCACAGCACACAGCACAGCACACAGCACACACACAGCACAGCACACAGCACACACACAGCACACACACAGCACACACAGCACACACACAGCACACAGCACAGCACACAGCACAGAGCACACAGCACACAGCACACAGCACAGCACACAGCACACACACAGCACACAGCACAGCACACAGCACACACACAGCACAGAGCACAGAGCACAGAGCACACACACAGCACAGCACAGCACACAGCACACACACAGCACACAGCACAGAGCACACACACAGCACACCTTTACAGCACACACACAGCACCTGACACAGCACACAGCACACAGCACAGCACAGAGCACACAGCACAGCACACAGCACACACACAGAGCACACAGCACACAGCACACACACAGCCTGGCTTCCACAGCACACACTGGCACACACACAGCACACACAGCACAGGCACAGCACACTGGCACACAGCACACACACAGCTGGAGCACACAGCTGGCACACACCACACACACAGCACACACAGCACACAGCTGGCACACAGCACAGCACACAGCACAGAGCACACAGCACAGAGCACAGAGCACACAGCCTGGCCACCTGGCCTGACACACCTTTTACAGCACACACAGCACAGAGCACAGCACACAGCACACAACACACACCTGTACACAGCGCAGCACACAGCACACACACAGCACAGCACACAGCACACACACAGCACACAGCACACAGCACACACAGCACCGCACAGCACAGAGCTGGCCACACAGCACTGGCACACAGCCACAGCTGGCCACACAACACACACACAGCACACAGCACACAGCACACAGCACAGCACAGAGCACACAGCACAGAGCACACACAGCACAGCACACACACAGCACAGCACAGAGCTGTACACAGCACACCCACACAGCCACCCGCAGCACAGCACCACACACAATACAGCACACACAGCACACAGCACACACCAGCACCTGGCCTGGCCACATAGCCACACAGCACAGCACACACACAGCACAGAGCACACAGCACAGCGCACAGCACACAGCACACACACAGCACAGAGCACAGCACACAGCACACAGCACACACACAGCACACACACAGCACAGAGCACAGCACACAGCACAGCACAGAGCACACAGCACAGCACACAGCACAGCACACACACAGCACACACACAGCACACACACAGCCCCCTGCAGAGCCACAGCGAGACCTCTCACACTGCAGGGGAAGGGACTGCAGCCAAGAGCCAGCCAGTCTGCAGCCAAACCTGGGAACACACCAAGGTCTGATCAGCTGGGAATTCTGGTTCCTTGGAGCTACACTCTCAACAAAAGATGCTTTTCTCTCGGCAGTTTTCTTGTTATCAGCATAATAACCCAGTTAGCTGTGGCAGGAAACGGGCTATAAATATGAGGATGACCTGCCCTCATCGTGCATCTTTCATCACTGTCTCTCCAAAGGGCATTGCCTGCTAGGCAAGACTGAAACTGCAACTTCCACGTAATGAGGAAGGGTAAGTGTGGTGTGATAAATGCACTTCTGCAGCTTAAAAGGAAAAAACCTACCTTGACTAGAACCAGATGAACTGGTACGAAGGCCACAGTTGGGCTTGCAAAGGCCAAAGGAAAAGCCAGTGAGAAAAGCTTTGTGCAGAAGGCGGGCAGGCATGAGCTGGACTGACAGTTCCAGAGGCTGTCTGCATTAAAAGTAACTGAGCCTTAGAAATAAATACTATTTCATATATTTTGACAACTGTAACCTAAAACTTGAAGTGCTGTGTTTATGTTGGTTTTGCTTAATAGAAGAAAGATTTGCCTTTGCCTGAGGTTAATAGTGTTCCTGGGTGGCTAAAACTGGCCACAAGGAAACACACCCTTTTTCTTTTTCACATTAATAAAGCTTTTAACATGTTTCTGGCAAATTGGCAAGAAAAGTGCGTGTAACTCATAATTGGTGATTTAAATGCAATCATGAACAAATAAATGCCTGTTCAGATCTCATTATTTATGGACTGAACCTGCTTTAAGACAAAATTACTCTTTTTTTGGGCACCAGCCAAGCATAAACACTTATTAAGTCTTAATTTTAATCATAAGCTGCGAATGTGCCGCGTCTCACACAGTGCTGCCTGTCTGGAAGCACTGGATGTTGTGGGAGCTCACGGGAATTTCTGGAAATGTGACACGGTGCTAGTGCAAAGGGTCAACAGAGTGGAACTCTCCTACCTGAGGAGGCAGCAAATCATCCTCCCTGGCAGGGCCCAAACCAACAAATGAGAACAAACCAGGATGAGCTGTAAGCGCCCCCGGGCTCTCCTGTCTGGGTCAGATGAGGATTTCACTCTTTATCTCCGGGGTTTCTCCGGCAGAGCCAGGAATGCACTGTCAGTTTGGTTTCACTGAGAATTATCGAGCACTGCTGCAAAATGGAGGCAGTTCTTTGTGTGAGCAGAACGAGGGATGGCACTGGGAATGGCTGTACTTACTGGTGCAGGGCTTGTGTCTGCAGGCTTACTCAGTGCTGTAAAAGGCTGAACGTTCTGGCTGAGAGCCAGCAAAGTACTTAAATATGTGCTTAACTTCTGCAAAGTTCACATTTTCTTGCAATATAGGCTCTTATTACTTCATGTATATAAAATATGCAACTTTTAGTTTCAAGATACAGACCAGAAAAGCATCGGAGCTTTTATGCTCATCAACAAGTTGCAGTGAGCTACAATATTTCTTTTCATATTTATGCCACATTTTCATAATTTTGGTATTTTGATGTCAAGTATTTGAAATAATTTCTTTCAGTGTGATGTCCTCAAACATCCTTCGTGGACAACAAAGCTATGATTTCTACACAGTAGAGGTGGAAATTGCCCCCAAAGCTGGCAGTCAGTGAGTGCAGGGACAGTGGTATCAGACGTGGACATTTCAGTCGGAACTGAAACGGACCCTGCAATTATCTCACACTGAGCAAACCTCTGGCCACTAATTGGAATTCGACTGTTCCCAGCCCCAGTCCCAGGGAAGGAATTAGCCCGGGGAGAACGTCCAGGGATCACATTACAAATCAGCTGCACCTCCCCTGCTCTGCCAAGGCTCAGGTCAGAGGGGAGGTGAGCACCTCCACCTGATGACAGGCCTGCTGACCGTGAGTTCCCCGGCAGGACTCATGTTCCCAGTATCCAGCAGCACCGGAGTTTTCAAACTCCTGCATGTGAAGACCAGCAGCTGCTGCAAATACTTAAATGGCAGACAAACCTCAGGCTGGCGTCCTCGTCCGTTAGAGCATGAGTTACAGAATTCAGTCATCTTTGTGGCAGTAAAATTAGTGATTAGAACCCCCAAAGATTTCTTGTGCTGCCCTCTCTTGAGCAGAGAATTCGAGAGCAATGATGCTCCCTTCCCAAGCTATGTCATTTCAGTGACAAAAGCAACCTCCCCAGCACCAGAAAAAGAGACACTTCCTACCTCCTCCAGGCCTTTGGCTGCCGTGGCCACCAGCCAGCGTCCCTGTGCCACCTTTAGCAGAGAGCATCTGCAGAATCCCACGTGCTCCGTGAAGACAGAGTCCGTCACTGCGCTCCGGCCCTCTGCTAAATCCCACAGGCAGATCCTCTGGTCCCGGCCCTGACTGGCACAGCAACACAGGCCGTGGTGAGCGGCAGCTCTGGGGGCCCGGCTGCTCTGCCTGCAGGCACCAAGGCCCGGGCTGTCCCGGGCACTGCACCGAGCCTGCTGCAGCCTGGGGGATGTTAATGGGGTGTGGCCCTGTGGGGAGAGCCCTGATGGAGCCCAGGTATGCTGTGTACAGGTATGCATGTGCTTATAAACTCTCATGAGCATTTGAGCTTATTCACAGTAAAAGACATATTTTACCATGAATCAGATCTAATTTAAAAGGAAACAAAAGTACCCAGAGAGCCACACACGTAACACTCATGCACCCTAGCAATGACATGGAAATGTCGTGTGTTGACAGCTGAAAGACAAACAGCAAGACAACAAAGATCGCATCAGAGATGCAGAAAAAGCTCCGGTTACTCAGTGGGCAACTTCCACAGCCACAGGGAGGGCACAGAGGGCTGTCAGGACTGCCCCATGGGGAGACAACAGGAGAGGGACTGGCAGCAATTAAAAAGGAACTGTTGAATGCTGTGGCTCAAACACCCACCCCAGAGCCCAGGGGCTGCAGCACTGGGGCACAAGTGCAGCTCACTCTGGGCACAGCCCTCGAGCCCACAGGGGCTGCTCCCGCAGGTTTGTGAGCCCACTGGCTCTGGAACGAGGTACCACTGTCCATAAACTACAGGAGCACAGGACACATGTCCTCATGTTACCCCCTGGGCCAAGGAGTCATCAAAATCCCTTCTCCTTGTGTTACTTTAATTAGCTGGATCACCCCATGGAAGTTTGAAACCGCAACAGGGGAGATGTAAATCTGCAGACTGTTGGGACTCCTTCAGTGTCAGTACAGAAACTCCCACCTCCTGTTCAGCTGAGTGACAAACTGACACAACATTTACAGCGCTGGGAATACAAACAATGTGGTACTGCAAGAAATTGTTGTGATTTACCTTTAGAAGAAGAAATCCAAAATACAGGTAACTGCTGTTCTAAAATTGCACTGCTACGTGAACTAACTATACAGCAGAAATAGAGGTATGGAAAACCTCTATAATTATACAAACAATGCTCATTCAATATGATTTTATGGGGAAGAGTGTTGAGAATTGTACTTAGGCAGATAAGAAGTATAAATGCTAATGAGTTCCACTGTATATTATGAGATGTCTTCTCTAGATAAACATGTCAGAACACCTCCTAATCATACAGACACTTTGGCATCTACTCTAGATCACCTGTCTAATCCAAAGTACACAAATCTTCCCGACCTTCCCTTGCTAAACAAGAGGATATTTTGCAACAAAGCAAAGGCATGAAACTCAGCATTCTTGCTCATTTTCAGTCTTCCACTCTCCATTTCTGATTCCTCTCTTCTTTCCTACCCTTCTCTCCCTGCCCCTATTTACAAACTCTTTGTATCAATCTTCCCTGAGAACCAGCTGTGTAAGATTTGTCAACTTCAAATCCAAATGTATTTCCTTTACCCAAAGACCTCACCTGATCTCAGTGCAGTAATAAAGGCACTATGGATCCCAGGTTGTTGTGATGTCATAACATACACATCATAAAGAAATAATTTCTATTTTTCTCCCCACTATTCTAGAGTTCCTCTGTGTTTTTGTACTTCAGTACATTTCCATGTGTGCTGGATGGAGAGACTTTCAGTGCCTCCAGAATGACAAGACTTGTTTTCCCTTCAGTTGTGTCCATCCCAGAGACAAGAACCATTTCCCTGGTTCTCCTCTCTTTGCTCACCTGAGCAGCCTGTCTTTACCACCCATTGTCTCCACACAGTAGACAGATTTTCCTCCATGGCCATCCAGTGCTGTGTCCACTCTGTGTGTTTTCAGGTTCCAGACATGGATAAACCCGGTCTCAGACCTGGCAACAGGAACAGATGCTTTTATTGTGACCGCTGCATTCGGGTGATCAGCCTGAAGCTTTTCCTTTTGTTTCCAAAACTGAAGCTGCATGCACAGAGAGCACACCCATCACTCACCACCACACTTTGCTGTTCTCTCCAGATACACTTTATCAAAATAATACCCGGTTTTAAAAGGAAACCAGCAGACTCAGAGCAGCCAGAAATCCTGGTTTACTTACCCAGAGAACAGAACAGGGATCTCGGGTTCTGGGCCTCCACAGGAGAAGTGCAGAGTGTGGATGGCAGCACTGGTACCTCTGAGCACAAACTGGGGATCTGGAGGTGGCAGAGCCATCCCAGCAATGAACTGTGGGGGGTGAGAAGAAAACATAGATATTACTGAGGGTGAGGTAAAATGAAAGGTAAAGTGAAATGACAACTTTAAATACATTCAGAGGAGGACACTGCTTTTCCTAGTCACTTTGCTCTCTGAATTATCATTACTGAGTGCTATTTCTATTCGCCACGCAGCTCAGGTAAAGTATTTCCTCTGACCGTGAGCTGCTGAAGCAGCGTCCAGCCTGCCCTTTGCTGCACTCCTGAGTCAGTGAGTGCTGAGCTGGCCACACACACACCTCTCACGCTCTGGGAAATACAAAACTGCTCACCTGTTCTCCCCGCTGCAAAAGGCAAGAGCCACAGAATACAAGAAACTGGATACCCATAATTTCAGTGGGCAAGCAATTCATCATTCCCTTTAGCCCCTTGGCTAAGTTTTTCCCTTCCTCCCCATAAAAATACTACTACTGTGTTTCCCCTCACAACTGTTTCCAGAAAAGCATTGCAGTGAACATATCAACTGCCAAGAATTTCTGATGAGACTGGAGTTACAGCAAACACAACAACTCCATGACTCTTGAGTGTGTGAATTTTTGGTCCCAAGCACAGTTACAAGAAAAAAGAAATGCAGTGTTTTACACTCAGTGACTACTGTGGTAACATTTTTATTCCACATGGTTTGTATTCCCTAAAGGATCACAGCCTGAGCCATTCCCCCAGGGACAGCCCGAGCCGTTCCCCAGGCAGCTCTCACTACTCTGGCACCCTCACCAGGTTATTTCCAGTCACAGGAATACCTGTGCAGGCAGCTCTGCACAAGCACCAGAGGACAAGGATGACTTTTCTGTGCTCTGACTTGCTGCAAATGACCCTCCAGACCTGTGCTGGGACAAGGTAACCAGCAATTTGACTGCAAGTGCAATTTGCAATTCATTGGAAAGTGCATTATAACGTCCATTACAAAAACTATTTTCAGCATGAAAAGTGTTTACTGCCTTATCTGTGGCATTACTAGCTATGCTTTCTGTTTGCTGCTTCCTTTCTGACCTGACTTCACACAGAAAAGGTCAGCTTTCACCACTGCAGATGTCAACTTTGTCACTTTTGCCCATTCATGCATACATTACCCCAGATTAAACAAAAGGGAAGATCAGCAGGTGTTTGCTTGCCTGCTGGCTCACAGCAGAGGAATTGCAGAGAATCAGAACAGAGCACTAGAGCTACAAGTTCCATGTAAAACAGCTCAACTGTTCATCGGCATCGCACTCAGTATCAGCTTTTGAACTGTGTTCAGTGGATGCACTTGCTCTTGCACCTCATTTGCAGGTCTGCCTGGAGTGTTTATAGATCAGTAATCACCATGGTATCTATAGGTCCTAATTAAATGCAATTATCTTTTAGAACTAGTGATGAAACGTGCAGCATAATGTGCAGTTCTCTCTCAATAGCACTGTGTAATTAGGTCTGAAAATGATGAGCTCAGTGGATCCCCTCCGTGTTTTAGGGCCCTGACTCATCTGGTTTATGATGTTGTCGGATGATCCGGACTCCTGACAGGCATTACACGATGTAAGGTTGGCCCCCACGGTGAGATCCAGCTCTGGATTGCCATGGGTAAGGTGCTGCAGCTGCTGCCCCTGTGAGCTGTTACACACCCGAGACTGAGCGCTCTGTCCCCAGGGTCCCCTCTGGGGCAGCCCAGCCGGGCGCTGGTCCCTCAGCCCTGTGCTTGTCCCTGAGCCCTGTGCTGGTCCCTGAGCCCAGCCCTGTGCTGGTCCCTGAGCCCTGTGCTGGTCCCTGAGCCCTGTGCTGGTCCCTGAGCCCTGTGCTGGTCCCTCAGCCCTGTGCTGGTCCCTGAGCCCTGTGCTGGTCCCTCAGCCCGGCCCTGTGCTGGTCCCTGAGCCCTGTGCTGGTCCCTCAGCCCTGTGCTGGTCCCTGAGCCCGGCCCTGCAGAGCTGCAAGGCAGAGGAGCTGGGGCTGGGCAGAGTGCTGTGCCAGGAGGCAGAGCTGAGTCCGCCCACAGCCCGGCTGGGATTACAGGCGGGCTTTTAATAGCGTTTTTTAATTACTGACACACAAGTTTTTGCTGACAGATAGCAGTGTGTGCGTGGCTGTGGGAAGGGTTTTACCTGGCATCAAACAGACGCTACTAATGCATGTCTTTACAAGGATGAGAGTTCAGAACAATCCTCAGACCACTTACAAGAGCAAAAAACAACTACAGAAAACAGACTTCTGAGTTGTAAGCAAACGAAGGGACTGTTTCCTCCTTGCAGCCTGGTTCTTTCCTTACTTTTTTGCTAATCATGTCTGTGAATCTGGAAATTTGGCTTAATATTAAACCTACTTTTTATTGAGGATATGACTCCTTATTCCTTCCTACCATGACCTGGCAGGTGAATGGCAGTGTGACAGTATTAAACATCTCATTTTCCTTCCAGCAAGTGCTGAACTATAAAATTGCATCTGCATTGTCTTCTTTATCCAGGAGCTTGGACAAGTCACTAAAGACCAAGATTTAATTAAAAGTTCCTCGGTACAGAAAGTCCCATGAGGTTGCAAACAGATGGACATTTGGTGCACCAGTGCTTTAACGACTCCAAGAAAGCATCAATCTGTTCCTGTTGACGCATAAGCATCCTCAAAAAAATGATAGTTAGCCTGCCTTCAGCTCCACAGGTAGCTCAGTGTCTCCACCTCACTTCCAGGGATAATGAAATTACATTGTGGTACGAACAGATAATGGTTATACCGTGCTTTGCTAAGCAGACAGCTAAAAACATGCGAATATGATGATTCTGAGATGGTTAAAGCCTCTGGGTAAATTTTTCAGAATTGCCTAAGTGATTTAGAAGCCTAAGACTCATTTCCAAATGAATTTTCAATCCTACATCTCTAGGACTTTTAAAAGTTTCACCCCAGGTGTCTGAAAATGAGTTCTCTAATTAGCACGACATTTATTTTCTTATTAATTCCATCTAGCCTCAGGGAGACCAATCTGTTCTTGTTAACTGGGGATATCTACAACAAATTTAATTAAATGAATTTGCTTAGTATTTAGTCTGGTCTGAGAGCAAATTCTGGCTCAAGGGCTTGAACACGCAAAGTGCAACCTACAGAAGAAAGCTGATTTAAAAGCAGGGCTGCACTGTATGTTTGTCCCAGAGATAGCCTCATGCTGGGAAAGGAGTTACAGACATGAAGACAGCAATCATTTTGCTTATGGCAGTATTTGCTTGCAAGAGGATATCCCCTGCAAGAGATGCAACACCTCCCCACCACACTCCTCCTTTCAAAAGATGTTCCACCTCTTATTTCTTCAGCTGTCCCTGGGCTGTATCAGCATCTGCCCTGAGGGGCTGAGCCACACCTGGTGGGACACAGCCAGGGACCAGCTCCTTTCCCAGGGTGCAGACCTGGGGCTCACGCTGAACACGAGGGAGGGTGGAAGCCACGCTTGTCCAAATGAGGGCTTCAATCAGCAAATGGCCAAGTGCTACATTAGGTACCAAAAAGGGTATTCTGCTAAATGCCAGAACAATTAAACTTCTTTCAAACTTATGTTATTTTAGAGAACAATTCTCTACTAATATCCCTCACAAATCTTACTTTGCTTAGGTTGCAATTAGAATAATCCTCAAACCATTTGAGTTTCTATGCAGTGGTATTCCAGTATCATCACTTCAGCATTCAATATAAAAAAGTTAAGCTTTTATTTAATGAGAGTCATTTAAAATATGTAAATGTCAAAAGGATTACCTTAGAAAAATCTCTCGGAGAATTAAAAACATTAACAGATTCCCACAGGAAAAATTCCAGCAGAATTCAGCAACTCTCCTGTTCCCACTCCTGTCACTTGTATTTCTATCACACATTGAAGCAAAAACAAATTGCTATTAAAATATCATCCAAACACCCTCCTCCCCCAACAAACTCCACAGTTCAGTTTGAGATACCAACGGCTCAAACAAAGAAAAGAAAAAAATCTTCTTCTTTTTTTTTTTTTTAAGGCTTATTTAGAGTAGTAAAAACTCAGTGGTAAAAGAGCTTTTTCAGTTACAGGAGAAATAAATCTCTTTAGGCATGTCTGGCAAACTGTTTTGGGACTGAAACCAGCAGGTGTGCAGACATAATTACTACTGCAAAATATCCAACACATCCAGGTGTGCTCGCAAACAGATACACGAAATCCCTGCTATTTTTTGAAAATTCCTAGTCTGCCAGGTGCCACCCTCCCCAAGGAAAACCAGAGAAAGAATGAGTTGAGAAAGATGGGGATAAATTGCTCTTGGCCCTTTGCAGGCCGTGTGAGTTGTCCCCTGCCAGGAAAGCCCTGCTGCAGTTCGGCCGTCCCCCGTCCCTCGCGCTGCCCCTGCACGGCAGGGACGCTCCCTGCAGGAGGGCCTTGGGCAGGGGGCACGAGTGACACGGCACAGCAGGTCGGTGGAAATCACACACTCCCTCAGGTTAACAGTGCCATAAAACAGGTTTGGAATTCCACTGTGTCTGCAACCTGCACTGCTAAAACACAGCGTCCCAAACAGCGCTCCCATCGCCAGCCTCCAACCCTCGAACCCTCTAAACTCCACGAGGGTTCACAGGGAACCACGAACCATCCCAGCCCAAGCAGCTCCATGGCACGTCCAGGGAGTGGAGAACACTCCCTAGGAGTTTAGGGCTACAAGAACCCACTGAATAAGCAGCATTTCCATCGTCAGAAGGGATGCCAGACACATCCACACGAGTAGAATGAGTTAAAGTTCACCTCATCTGACTGCAGAAGTGAAGTTTTATATCTTATTGACTACAAATGGTCTCAAAGCAGGTATATAGCTCAGTAAACAATCCCTCAGTCATGTTGTGACAAGTTTTTAAGCCCAGCTTTTGATTCTGCATGTGCAAACCAAAAGATGATAGAACACACTGAGCCAGGGAGTCAGCAATACAAAGGGATGTGGTGAGACAGTCATCTGAAGAAATCTCCTTGCACCTGAGGTGCAGAGAAACTGAGTGGACAAAGAAATGCCT